GTCGCCGGGCCTCGCGTCGCCGGGCCCCGCGTCGCCGGGCCCAGCGTCTCCGGGCCCCGCGCCGCCGGTCCCCACGCCGGGCCCCTCACGGTCGGTATCCTGTGCACTCTGCTGTGTGGTATCCTGTGCCAGTGTATCGCTGTTCGTCTGCATGTCGTTTTCTTCTATTCTTATCCTAAATAAACACAAGTATTTCATATTAATCCAGATTATACGATTCACGACTGATTCATAAACACCCCACGACATGTTTTATTTTTTTTTATATTATACCATGCTGTATTACTACCATGCGACACACTTTTTGATGGCTATGTAAACAGGAAACAAAAATAATCGATTACACTCGGTACAAACAAGTGACATCATAAAGGTTACGACATGGGTACATGTCCCAAATACGAGTCCCAAATACTAGCAAAGTCCTTGTATTCTACTGTAATGCCAGTATATGGTCCATTAAGTATCTGTACTCCCATATACATTTGATATGATTGTGTTATGACCTTTGATAATATAATGTCTAGATGGAGCGTCACCACAGATAGGATTACAATAAAAATGGCGTTTCTAAATTTCTTCCATATGTGCGCCCGTACGGGCTTGTGGTTTACACAACAAAAATGATACCAGCTACGACAACAATCCTTTCATCAAATGACAATGACCAAATTTGTATGGAGCGTAGTGCCTTTTAATTTTTTCGCGGCAGTTGATCGGATGTAGAAAAACTGATACAGAATAACATTACAAACAAAAAATATATGGAGTCTTATATCAAAAACTCAGTCCGAACCGAGTCAAATCAGTTCAAAGATGTGAAAATAGTGCTATATTATACCTGTTATTTTGTTGATGTTGACCGTACACAATGCATATTTCGAATATTTCAAGGAATAAAATAAAGCTTGGTGTGGACTTTTTTACTTTTTTTTTTTATATGGCCACGAAATCTGAACAGAGTTAACCATTACCTGGCCACTACTGAAGTAGAAAAAAACATTTCACTTGATTGGCCAGCGTGTTCACTTTATATGTATACGGTTGATGACCTATGACAGATTTTCATGATCAATTTCCTCTCAGTCGAAAACCCGCAAAATACTTTACTGAGCCCTATCATGAAATGCTACGTTTGTCAGCTGCGGCGTCGGTAGCGGGTTGAGTAGCGGCAGTTGTCAAAACACGAAAAATTCATTTTGACGTGACAACGTCTTAAATTAGGTTGCGGCTGGGAGTCACTTATGAAAAAGTGTAACGCTCGGTAACGTTACGATGAGTCACCGAACGAGAGAGAGGCCCGCCGAATGCCTTGCGTCTCTCTCCCACTCAACTATGATCGGTCTGCCGCGCGCGCAGCACTAGTTCATTCAATTCCTTGTTCCTATTGTGCAATTTAATTATATTCATATCAATAAATATTTTACCGAGAAAAAGACGTTGTCACGTAAAATCTTCGCCCGTAAAAACGACTTTACAGGCAACCATTTTTTTCTGTCTACTTCTCCCGACTTACTTCCGATTAGTAACTAATCTAACTACAGTTAATACTTAATCTACACCTAGCATAAGATTCTGTACAAAGGTATCGTCATTCAGTCACAAAGTGATTGATTATATTTCTAGTGATCGATCACATTACATGAAAAACTTATGCGCTCATTTCATGTACAGTCCATCACTTTACAAAGTCGACGGCTTCCTTTCTTCAAAGATTATGCTAACTATAAAGTAGATGAGTCTTCTACCAGGAGTCAATGACAAAACAATAATACTTTATTAGATGTTTGGACGGCTACCACTACTCAACCCACCACTGGTACCACAGCTGACATTCATGAAGCTTCATGACACAACTCCTACAAGCATCCCACAATTTATCGACTGAGAGAAAATAGGTAATAAAAATTAGTGCCTGGCAATATGGATATATTGTGGTGTGATATGGTGTTCCTGCATCCGACGTACAGTAGCGCGCAATTCGAAGTTAGGAATTGTGACAAAAATATGAATATTTGAATAAAAAAATCAAAGTAAAATGTTTAACCCTGTAGTTTAGTTTTTACCTCTAAATGTTTAGCTCCTTTCAACGCTCATAACTCAGTCCTGACTGAGATTTCCATATGAGCCCATAGACAATTTTGTTTGCAATGTCATTCTAGATAATATTTTCCATAAATCATCGACTGCTGCCAGAAAAAAGAAAGGCACCAATTTTAGTCAATGCCCTTTAATTATAAAATAACATTTTAATTCACAACTTATATAATAATATCTTTTTTTTATTTTCCTCTCTTTTTCAGCGTTATGAGAGAGGAATATTCAAAAAGAAATTGACAATACTAATAAAATATGGCGGTTATTGAAAATTTCATCTATTACCATTGGTAGATCGACGCAACATTGCAGATTGTCTATTCTTATTTAAGGTTCTTAACGGTAATGTGGATAGTCCAGAACTTCGAAAATCTAATTTAATGTACCTAATAAAATATTTAGATTTAATCCACCTTTACACGTATCCCGTTCCTCATCTAACTACAGGCAGAACATAATGCGTGCAAGCAGACATTTTAACAATGTTTGTAAGGAATATGACTTCGATCCGTTTACAACTAGTATGAACACGGCAAAGAGGTGCTTAAGCCTCAAATTTTTTAAGCAGCAAGAGATTTAGTTTTTTTTATCTGTTCATAATCATATTGTCTGTACGGTCTGTTTCAATATTAATTTTTTTCATTTACGCAGAATGTATGTCTTTTTAATATTGTATAGTACTCATACCATATTAACTCGTCGAGTACCGGTTTTGTAGACACAATTATAGAACAATAGGTTGCGGTCACCGGTGACCGCTTGGTGTTTGACAGTTTAATTAATTTATTCCAAATGTTAAACGTGAGGACTTGTTATTGGCTCATTGTTACCTACGCTTATTGTTATTATTATAAGTTGCAAGTCCTCCATGAATTATAAATAAAAATTAAATTAGTTACGTCAAAAACATAAATGAAATAATAATAACTCATATTACTCAACGATGGATTAGTGACGCCTAAGTGACACGATTGGTACTACTTGACGGGTGCTTAAAGTTTTGAAACGTTTTTCGTGAACTGACACTTCATCTAGACATTATACATTTTGACTTACTACAGTTATTTTACCGGCGTGGGACATGAATCATTATTAATTATTGAATTATCGTATGTACAATTTATGTATGTTGAATAAAGTGGTTATTGCAATAAGACAAACAGGGACTGTAATGGAACGTGATGGATAAATGAGAGCCGGGAGCAGGAGGCGAGTAGTTACGTGTACAGGTCGGCGTGCAGCGCGTGCGCGCGCTCGCTGAGCAGCTCCAGCTGGTCCTGCAGCAGCCCCGCCAGCGGCGCCGCGCAGCCCGCCAGCACG